AAAGTGAGACTGATAAATGGATATTCACGAATCTGTGACCCAAGATGTCGCCGTTTTTACACCGCATGGCAGTGCACAACATCTCTAGTATCTCAATTTCAATTCAAGTTAGAAATGGGTGGGGACAATTTAATATTTCAACTGCAGGAATTTTATGTGTTCGGCAAAGCCTTAACATTATTGAGTCTATGCCGTGATCTCTCCCACCCCAAAAATAATGCTCAATGAATGCCCACAGGCAGCACTTATGTACTTGTAAGGATTTTGCCGCACTCCCAGCTGAAGGCAAATCCCTCATGTTGTTCATTCATGGGGCTATGATAGATTTCCAGGCGCATTCGGCGCATGTAAACATCGGCTTTTGTTAATCAAATTAAGTGCAAGTTAATGTTGGGGCAAAATCCCAGACCCACTACCCACTTTTCACAAGAACAAGAATTATTACATCCCATCAGTGTAGGATGGCGCTCGCCCTCTCTCTCTCTCTCTTCTTATCCGTTCTCTCAGTGCCGCTCTGTTTGCCCACTCGAAAAATGATGAATAATAAATTGCTAATCATAAATATTGCGAAATCAAGCGAATGAAAAGAGAGAAAATGGCCAAGAAAAGACCGTATGAAAAGGATGGGGAAAAATGACTAACAAAACTTTCCCTCATGTATAGAATTCCCTCCACCTTTTTTTTACACGCTAAAAAGCAAAACAATACCAAAAGTACACATTGTTAAATTGAAAGGAAACAAATGTAAAATTTATACAGCTGCAGTGCCCTTCCTTTTCGGATTCCTTCTATGGAAAGTAAACGAAAGAGCCCCCAACTTGAATGCAAAATCAAAATGTGTGGCAGAAGGCAGGAAGGAGTCGATAGAGGCAGCGGCGGGTGTCTACTACTAGCAGCCAGTTTGTTTGCCCCATTATCGAACCCAAATGTTGTAACTGTTGGGCGCTGTCGATGTGGGCGGATGGGATTTTCCTTTCTGCAGCACAAAATTAAGGGCGAGTTGTGGGTAACCCTGCGCTGAATGTTGGATATGATTAATTTAGCGTTATCAAATTGATTGGATTATCGCCAAAGGAAAGAAAAGGCATACGGATGGGAGAGAGCGGACTATGATTACAAAGGAACATTTGCTGCATATTTTAAATGTTATATCATAGATCATAGATACATCGTTTCAGTAGTAGAGGTCCCTCTTTATCGACCACAGGCTTATGGCATGTTCCATTAACGCAGCCGTCAAGTACGGACATCGAGGCCCAATATCTCAACCACAAGCCCCATTCACTGCCCACTCTTTGCATCGAGTAATTAGCGTGCCACACCAACAAAAAAAAAGAAAGAAATGAATACAATCAGAGGGCCAGCAATCAGGCATCAAAATCAGTGCAAGAGCCAGAGCCAGAGTCAGATTCCGATTACGAGTTACGTGTCGTGTTCCATGCCAGCAATTGCCCAAAAAGGGCAATCAGAGCCAGTAGAAGAAGGAGTGACCAAATCGAGACCAAATATCCTGGCTGCGTCGAGCAGCTGCCAAGTTTCTCAGCGGCGGCAAATCGTTGGAACAAAAGTCAAGTGCAGGCCGTCGTCTGGTTACAGTTCGTTAGCGGTCACTAAACAGTTCGGCAGTCGGCAGTAAACGGTAAATCATTCGTCCATAACATTTTCGTAGTGCATTTAATTAAATTTCCTGTTCGATGGTAGAGCGAACATTGCCTATTTTTGTGCAGCGCCACAGAAGAAACTGTTGCACATGCAGCCGCAAAATGTTGGCTGCTGGTGACAACCGCCCATCCCGCAGGAATCATCCATTCCTCCTCCTCCGGCAACCAAATAGAACTAGCCTCTCCCCCTGCTGATGCCACAACAACATCAGCAGCACGTAAGCCCAAACAATTTGCAGCAGCATCTTGTTGCAAGAAACATCTGGGTACACAAACCCAAGACCCAAGCCAACATCCTTAAACAAAGCACAACGAAGGGGAAATACACTTGCCAAAGATCGAAAAACTATTAAATGCTATGATGGGAAATTCGTAGATATTTCAGCAAATATTAATCGGCATATCGATAGATCAACTCCTTAAGGTTTTTATTGCAACCATCAAGTTGGGGTAGAGTATATTGAGAAACGGCTACTTGTGGACAGCAAAGTGGGGCTGCGAGTTGTAGCCGCATTCAGCGGAAATGCAAGCCCAGTTAGCTATGTTGTTGCTATTGTTGCTGTTGTGTTCGTGTTGTGTGTCTGGTGGCATGCCCCATGAATATTCATGGCGTTTGCCGGGGCAGTCATTCGTTCATTCGTGATTTCACGCAACCAGCCAACGCAGGGGATGCCGCCCCAAGAAGGGGCAACACGACTGCCGCAGCAGAGGACCAAAGAACGAAGAAGCTGCCGCAGCAGCAGCTCCTGAGGAACAGGAGGAGGAAGTTGCACAAAACAATGAAGAGGAATGGCAAAAGACAAAACATGAAACCAAATAAATAAACAAATGTCAAGCAAAGGAGTAGTGACGAAGGCGAAGGCGGCATCGGCAACGGAATCTAAGGCAAAGGCAGAGACAAAGGCGGGCACGAAAGCCAAGAAATTGGCGTGAAAATAAATCAAGAAATAAATTGGAAAATTTGTTATTTCAACGAGTAAACGAATCGGGAAAACCCCAGCACGAAAACGCGCAGTCGAAGGCAAATGTTTGTTCATGCATGTCTTATGTCGAAGACAATCAATGGTTTCGTTTATGAATGAATTGATTTGGCTGGTGGAAATACGTGGCGGTTGCACCATTCAATTTTCAATAGTTCTACGTAAACGTAACTATATTTGCTGCTCTGATCGATAAATTCAATATATTACTACTCCCAATAAATTGTTGTATCTTTCATCTGTTGAAGAGCATATCAAATATGCACTTTAATTCCTTCCGGGAATATTTTTTCACTCTGCTTTTAAAGCAATAACAATTCTTTTGGCCCACAAAATGAAGGCCAATTAAAATGGCCTTTAGGCGTTTTCCTTTTTGCAATATTAATTAACATGAAAAAGGCAGAAAGTACAAGCACATCCGTGGCAAAGGAATGCCCATGGACTTTGTTGAAATGAGGTCGCCAGCAGTGGATCTGACGGCGACCAGCAGCAGAAGCAGGCAGCCAAATACCTTAATTTAATTGTAAAATATTACATTTTAAACAATATCCATTAAATGCCAGCAGCAGCAGCAGCAGCAGCAACAAACTTGCCTGCTTAAGCCACAGGCCACTGCCACTCGATATACTCGTACTTCGTAACCCGCAACTCCGCAACTCCGTGCTCTCGCCCGCCCATCGTTTGTTCAGTGCATACTCGCATCAACTGCCAAAGGTAATCAACTGCTGGGAAAATGCTGTAAAATGCAAAAAAGGAAAGCTTTTAATGTTACCCATGTGCACCGGGCACCGGGCACAGTGTGCACCGGGCACAGTGTACAGTGCACAAGGGCGCCAGGCAGTGGTTGGACGCATGTCTGGGCGTCTGCGACTGAACCAAGTTCGCGTCTGGACCTTTGTCCTGGACCCCGGCAACCCCACATGGCAACTACTTTGGGAATGGAGTGGATTCCAGAGCCGACTACAGCGAACGATGGGTGGCAGATTGCCGGACCGTTAACAGCGGGACGGGGCGGGAACTGGTTTCCCAAGGGCCGCTCATTTAAATGCAAATTTAAATGAAATTTTAATCCCGTTTAAGGACGTAGTCGGACACTCTCCAAGACAAGCCTTTGATGTGCCTCTGCCTGCGGCACCCTGATCGCCGTCCCCACACAACCAACAAACAAAAAGCCAATTCCTGGGATCAGTCCCCTCCGCGCACATGGGGTTTATTCAATCACTCAAATTCTCATCATCGTCCCAAACGCCGGCCTCACACTGGATTTCCTTCCAACGCTCAGTGACTGTAGCGACACGCTGTGTCGAATTCTCCGTGTCCGTGTCCGTCTCCTGCGACTCGCTCTTCTCTAGAATCGGCGGGGACGGCTTGATGGCAGCATGCTGAATCAGGAAGTAGTCGCAGCGCTTGCAGTGCATGTGCTCCCGATTAGACGGCTCGAAGGCCTTATCACAAATGGCGCAATCCTTTTCCGGCAGGCGGCAGTAACGGCAACGAAGCTGCCGCGGCGAGAGATCGACCCACAGGAAGCGCTGAAAGCACTTTGTGCAGAGGTACCAGCGGTCGTCGGGCAAATTACTTTTATCGAGGATAGAAAAGTCCAAGGAATCCATTTCAATAATGATTAGTTTATTGAGAATGCAGCCCAAAATGAGACACAATATAATTTCAACGTGAACTTGTCAGACAATGACATTCAATTGGTAGACCTGTCGTCAAAGTAACCCTCAAAAATAAGTTTGGCAACACTGTTTCGGCTTACAATTGCCGTACTAAAAGAAAGGCAATGGTAGGTGGGGAGGTTGGCAACCCTATTTCGAATGGAGTTATCAAAATGAAAATCCGCTCAATCTGAGAACCCATCCAACTACCATTTAATCGCAATCTCTTCAGCCTTTAACAAAGTTATAGCCAGCCCACAATTGTGAATAAACAGAATGCCTCAATGATGACGATGATGAGGGACACACATGCATACATACATACGTATGTGGCAGTGGCACATCATAGTCCCTGGATCATCAGGCTCCCTTTTAAGCATTGATTGCATTCAGCTTGCGCTACTGCTGCCGCTGCCGCTACCGCTGCCACTGTCGCAGTGTCCTGCGTGTGTTGTCCTCGTCACTCAATGGATTTACTCGATTGGAGCATCGGACATTGGGCATAATTTACAGCGCATTAAAAACTCCAATAATGATTTATTGTTGTCCTGGCTTGCCGTGGCGCCTGCTGTCGCACCGCAAAAACATATTTAAAGCGAAGTATTTATATTTAATGAACAGCAAACTGATGCACGTGGTGGCCACGAGACCTGAGAATTGAACCGCGTTGCGAAAAATCAGGGCTTAATCATGTCACAATGGTCACAGGCCTCTTCGGAATACATGTAATCAGTGTTGGAAAGTGTTCGTTTCGCCACAGAGTCCCTCCAATTCACTGGGGATAATTGAGACGCAGCATGCACTCTCTTTCATTTTAATACAAATTAATAATCATTCGATAAGGTGCTTGTGCCATAATATTTCGTTCTACGCTTAAGAGTTTCCCTTTTATATTTATAAGCAATCGAAATTTGTCCCCTTTCCAACACTTGCACTCATGGAAAACACTTCTAAACTTCTTTCTTGCAGCTCAAAGATATGAGACACCAAATATCAGACAATACGCCATCGCCAGTGGGGAGTAACAGCACTGAAAGCTTGAATGGCAAATATGAATCCGCATCCACATCCGACTCGATGCTTACATCGTCGACGGCTTCATTGCAGCCACGGCACGAAGCAGAGGCACACCTGATTGAAACAGGGATGCGGACAGAGCCCAAGGACAGCAGACTGGGCCCTGGTCTGCTTCTCTTCCCTGGCACCGCTCAAAGACATCAGCATAATCTGGGAGCTAACTACACGGACAGGGAGAAGGGCGCTTTTGGGGGGACAAAAACAATTTCGAATGCTAATGACGGGCACGTTGCCATTAATCAACAGCGCAGCATTCGCTCTATTCGACGACCACCACTGCATAAGGCGGCGCCGCCTCCCCTGACCAGGACACCAAAGGGTGATGCAGAGGAGCAGGAGCATACCCCAGAGCCAACGCCGGACGCATATCGGGGCTCAAAAGTGGGAACCAAAGTGCACGCATTCATAATCGAGTTCCTACAGGGCTCCTCCATTCATGGCTTCATTTATTTGGCCAAACTCGGTCTAAATTTCGTCGAAAGGTGAGTCCAGCTTTTGTGATTCGAGCGAGGGATTAATTGGTCTCTATGCGCCTATTGTTTTCCCTCACAATTGAATGCACGAATGGTAATGAGAATTGGGCAAAGGTACATGAAATCAACGCAATGAATATCCTTCCTATAACCCAATTAATAGGAGGATCCCTTTGATAATTGAAGCTGAAACAGAATTTGACCTACGCCCGATAGAGCTGCGAAAACAGACAGCGAGGCGGTTGCAGAACTGTCCCGAGAAGCATCCACCATTCAACCTTTGTATTCAACCCTTAATTTCGGAATCAAATATTTAGCCAACATTTCCACTCAATTAATTCACAAGTGATATTACAGTTAAGCCTCATTACGGACCCAAAAACGCTGCCACAAACCGCAAGTAGAACTTTCCCAGAGGATTATTTTAGTTTTGGCTTACCTCTTTACCTCACCCGCCATAAAGTGGAAAACTAAAGCGATACAAAACTATAAGTCGAGGACTTACAAGAGCACTGCTCCGCCCCCAGGAACATCGCGCCACGTGCTGGCTGAAGATTTCGATCTGCCCCAGAACAGTACTACCCACAAAACCGAGGTAGGAGGAGGGCTAAAGGAAGTGCGTGTCAAGGTCCTGTGCCGCGCTCCCGCTCCATGAAAATGTTTGCATTACAAATACCGACTACATTTTTCCACACATCTTCCGATTTTGTGTGTGTGTGTGTGGTTCGGGTGGGGAGAATTTGTATTTTTGTGCGGTGCAATAAATCCTTAAAAACTGACATGACATGACAAGCAGGATTACACACACAACCCTCAGAGGCAGAGAGAGAGATCCAGAGGTCTTGGTCCGGTGGCAAGGCTTAAATTGGCAACAGACTCGCAAGTGGTAGAACGGAAGGGCAGCCCGGAAGCAGAGAGCGGAGCGCTACTCCACGCTCAGGAGGTGGGAAAAATCTGTCAGAACAGCAGGCTGAGGGCTAATTAGTGGATAACAGCCAGGCCAAGCGTACACTGAACGAAATTAAGGAGAAACTTGAGAGCAAAATTTGTTCCGTAACAAAGGAAATACTTACATAGATTTCCCCACTAAAAGATGCAATTTGTTATACTTTAATAGAGAAATAATTTCGAGGCCAAAGTTATTCTCAACACACTTTTTTCCTGCGGTGTAATACTGCACTGTGTTCCATCTAAATTCAGCTCAATTACAATTATTGTTAGTTTTCGGACATGTTCCTCCCCCAACCAAAAAGGAGCAGCTGCAAAGGTGAGATTCAAGGGGAGGTCACGCTAAAGGTTAGCTTTAATTAACACGCTTTCCTCTAGCTTCAGCTCTCATGCGAATGATTTGTGTGGAGGACATTTGGACAGCACTGCTCTTGTGAAATTTATTTCCCATTCGGAATTTTTATTTATTTATTTCCTTCCGTGCAAAAATAAAACAGTGCTGGAATATGCTTTGAGACGCACAAATTTGTGGCTAATACACAACCCCCCCAAACTAGGGCTTAAGCCCGCCCTGCACCTCACTCGCAAGAGTAGCACATTTCCAACGAAAATATCTGATGAAACGAACCCACACAGAAAACAATCTGAAAACCAAAACAACATAAAAACATAGCAAGTGGAAATGCATAAGCCTGAGCGAAAGAGTCTGTGTCGGTGACATGTGATAACCCCAATTTCACAAGCGTTGATATGGCAACTACCTCATATGAGGGCTTTAGTGCCAGGACAGGTGTAGCTTTGGTGGTGGCTGTGGCCTGGCAGTGATGGCAGGAGGTGCATAATCCGGAGCCAAAAACTGCAAATGCAAATGCAAAACACGCACAGGATTAAGGTCGTTGTGTCTGTGGAACTGCAGCATCGTGCAGTCGAGTGTCAGCCTGAACTGTGTAGAAACTCAAGCGATTTATTTCAGAGAGAAAAAAGGAAGAAATAAAGCCATCAATGAAGTACCAAAAAAAAAGATAAGAAGGGATTGGGCAGGTTTCAACTACCATTCCAGCTGGCAATTCTTTTCAATTCAAACTGTTTAAAATTTCTATGAGGTAATATTTAACAGCAGACTCGTTCCGTCTGCGGAATTCATTGAGGAATCTCGCTAGCCGCATTCTCACGTATGAAATCCAAGTCTGGAAATTTTTGGATTCACATAACGGTTCGCCAAGGCGAACGCATGAATTAAAAAATTCAAAAACTCACATTCACATTCAAAACAACCCTTCGAGACTCCCTCATGCAAATAGATTTCTCGTCTGTACTTTCACGTCCTCACATAACGAGTATTACGTCATCAAATATGCATCACTGAGCCTCATTCACGCACAAATTTCAAGCATATGAGTGGCGAGAGATGATGAAACAAAGCACACCACCCCGACACTGGAGACACACGAAAATGGGCATTGTGGTGGATGCGACAATGGGTCTGTCATATATGATGTCCAAAAGGAATTTTGTGGTGTTAGACAAAGTACAGCAGTCAACTTTCACAGAGAGCACACGAAAAACAAGCACAAACCAACAAAGACAACTTCATACAAAATAATAATAATAATAAAAAAAAGGAAGAGTTGGAAAATTAAAAGCCAGGCCAGAACTGACTGTGTGTCTGCCGTTGCTGAGAGCTTTATGAGCCATTGTCGGCATCAAACTGTCAGCGTGGACGGAGGAAAATTCTCCAAGGATTTTTGGCGACTTGTGTCTCAGTTCACAGTTCACAGTCCGCAGTGTCTTTGGCAGAGTTTGTTTTGTGGCAGTATTTTAGCCATCTCCGAAAATGGCAAAGAAAAAGAAGGAAATGGCAAGGAAAAAGGGTTGCAAAAGCGTTGACGCGTTCATTGACTCCTACTCCGGGGCCTGCTTCGCATTTGGCCATAATTCTTTTGTCGCGAATATTCCCGCATAATGCTCACAGAAAAGTTTACACGCAATAGATTTTTATGTCCTTTGGGAGAGTGCACACCACCCGACCCAAACAGCAGTGCGAATTATTCCACTGATTTCCATACATCATTTTTGACTGCTGCTACATTTGGAAGGCGGTAAGCGGCAGGCTCTGTGTGTGTCTCCCGAGGGCCCTTTGCCAGTTACACTCTCCTGCGATTCTCTCTCAACATTCAATCTACACAGAAGCTCCAGTCATACTTAAATTATCTCATTTTCCAGAATGCTCTGGTTCGCATTCATCTGCGTGGCCCTGTTCAGCATCATCTCGCTGAGCAAGAGGACATGGCATCGCTTTCAGACCTCCCCGATGGTCATATCCATGGATCGGAACAAGCTGGTGTGGAACACGAGCTTCCCCTCGCTGACCGTGTGCCCTCACAAGCGTATCGATGAGCTCAAAGTGGAGGATTATATATTGTAAGTGAATCCATCCTAAGTCTCACGACTTTTAAACCCCCTGCATCTGCATCCCCTCCCTGATGGGTGGCGAGACAGCTCTCATGCTGAGGACTTTCAGACCGAGGAGGATCAAGAGGATTTCCGTGATTTTATTGTGAAACTTGCGAGTCTCACATACGACAACTTGGAAACGCTGCCGCTGAACAAGTCGTTCGGGATCTCGGGCGAAAAGTACTTGGATTTGCTTTATGAATTGAAATGGGCCTTCGAGCCGGAAATCAGCAGTGGCGCCGCCGTCAAAATGTTCATCTATGAGACCCAAACGGAGTTTGGCATTTGCCATGCCGTCAACTCGTTGGTCGCCCGTTACAATTCCTTTGAGTAAGTGGCGGATGGTGGCGCCCCATCCGGACACATCCGGATATGATTTTATGGCATTCGACAACCCATATCCCATTCCCATTCATTGTAGCTATTGGCGCTCGAATGATTGGAGTATCTTGGACCATGGGGATCGTGTGACAGTGCATCCGTTGGATGGTGAAATCTACGCTCAAATTATAAACCTATCGACGGCATACGATGTCTACTTCCATGGAGCAGGAGATGTGCCTAGCATATCCAAGCAGCGCTACACATTTCCGGAGAGCGACTACACCACCGTCGAGCTAATTGCCCTGGAAATCTATACGAATGAGGAGGCCAGAGCGTGAGTAGCTCTCTCTCTCTCTCTCTCTCTCTAGAGAACTCTTTAATCCGTGAATCTTTTCGAGACAGATTCACCACCAAACAGAGGAGCTGTCGCTTTAATTATGAGGCCGAGGACATGCAGTCGGTGCCCATTTATAGCTTTGGCCTCTGCCTCTCCGAGTGTCGCATGTTCTTCGCTCTGCGTGCCTGCGGTTGCATTCCCCACTTTTACAGGAACCGCCGTGAGCATAATCATATTTCATCCATCCGTCCGTCCGTCCGTCCTCCTTCTCATGCACACAGTAGCTGCCCCACTTAATTGTCCACATTAAAGTTAACTTTTATGCGCCGGACGATGCGGCATTAATGCTGCTACTCGTTTTATAGCCGCCAAATTTGATCATAAAATGTTTAAATTCTCGTAGTATAAGTTGAAACTCGTCCGCCCGATTATGTATCTGTCTCTCACTCACACATTTTCTCCGCCTCCCGCCAGTACGGAATGGACGACGACTCCCTGTTTGCGGCCTGGAGGGCATCGGCTGTTTGGTCAGAATTAAACGTGAGTAATTTTCTGTGCCCCCGTCCTTTGGTACATGCAAATATTTAACCTGCCCAGAAAATTCGATTTACATTTTTCGATGGAAAAAAAATATTTCACAGAAATTTCGTAGAACGTGACCATAATTTCATAATGGCAGAGGTAGGTGGGTTGCAGCCTGTTGCTTCAATATAATGGGACGACATTCATAAGCAGGAGTCCAATTTTTGGACAGGGACATGACACAGATATTAGAATATTGAGTAAACAAAAGTAGGAGGATGGTTAAGCTGTTGCTTAACTGTGGATACAAAATATTTTATGTGAGAAATAAGTTGTAGAGCCGAAAAGTATTTGATTCACTCCCTTGTCATTTTCCATTATCATAAGCAATAATTTACCCATTGAAATCCGTTCCCTTTCAGGCGAAATAATCTCATTGAAATCGGAGAAATACAAAATCAATTGCAATTGTTTGGCCAACTGTGACGATTCCAACTTCTTTGTGCAGTCCCATGTAAGTAGATGTGTCTCCTGCTTAAAGCCTAGCTTAAAATATTAAGCAAATGTATGTACGCTTTAACTGTAAAATGTTTATGGAAAAGAGAAGCGCCATTGGGCGGTCGTTAAGCGCCCCGCCATACCGCATTTCAAGTGCGGGAAAATAAGAGAATATTTTGGGCAGCAAAATGTTTCTCTTTGCTTTAAACAAACATCAAAATTGTAGTCCGGGCTATAAAAAATAATAAGCACAAAAGTTGCACGGAACCGGGACGCCGTGAAATATGCAATTATTGTATTTCAGGGTCTTCATGGGAGAAGGAGCTGGCGCCCATTCGAAGCAAAAGTTTTCTTCAACTTTTTTTCGCTCTCTGTGCGGCTAAAGTTTTGTACATTTAATAATAATTTTTGCTTACTTGCCTTATTATGATGATGATGATGATGTTGTTCTTGTCCTGCTTAATACTGGTACTATCTTTGTTCTCTTTCGCACATTTTACATTCCTTTCGCCCGGTCACCGTTGTGGACAGCGCTCGCGTGTCTGGTTTTTGGGCGCTAATCTACAGTGGGGCATAATCGATTATCCCAAAATGCAGCTCCGCCGCGATGTACTCTTCTCCTTTGCTGATGTCTTGGGTAAGTCCTTTGGGGTTTTATAGGGTGCCCGCTGACTTTGCCCTTTTTCTTAATTACAGTTTATATTGGCGGCCTGGTGGGTTTCTTTCTGGGCTGCAGCGCTTTGAGCTTCACTGAGATAATATATTACTTCACTGCTCGATTTGTGCGGCGCATGTTCTTCAATTAAATAATTCGAAAAACACACAAATTAATGGATATATGTATGTACATACATATTTCACAGAATTAAATCAACCACAAGAAGTATAATACAACTTTTAACTCACCTTTAGACCATCTTGCAAACATGTATGTATAAAAAAATTATAGACTTCGTTAACGGATGGACGGACTTCTTGTTAAAGTTTACATCAAACTTTGGTACATCTATAAAGGGATGACATGTCAGGATTAGTATCGATAAACACAAACATAAACACAGACGCGCCTCTAATCAATAATAAAATACAATTGTTGCAATGTTGGCAAAAATCATACAATTTTCCCGTTCCCACTGCCCATAAACTAGATGAACCTTCACTTTGGCCGTCTCGGGTTTCGTCGCTGGCATTTCAATGAATCGTTTACATTGGCAAGGATGTGCGTGGGGGGCAGAGTGGGGAAGCGAGGGAAGTCGCTCAGTCATTCAGTCAGACTGACATCTTACGACGACAAATTGCCTTCGTCCCGTTGTTGCCTTTTGTATTTTTGCCAACCTTGTCGATTTCTATTAGGGTCGCTCTGCCTCTCTCTCTCTCTCTCCTCCTTTGCTGGATTGTAATGAACTCTTGTCTTGTGCTCATATGTACATATGTATGGATCTGTATGTGTGTGCGTTTAATATTTACTGTTCGTTTATGCCAAATAATTTGTAGCGTTATTCTGCTTCAGCAATTGTTTATTTGTGTGGAAATATGTCTACTCTGCTCGGTCGTTTCATTTTCCTAGCTTGTTGTACTATTTTTCTGATCGACTACTCGCTGTTCTCACTTTTTCCTTTCCAATTGAACTGTGGATCTATATTCACCTTCTACTTTCAAGTGCACACAAGTATAGTTGATCTCTTCTAACCAACAGCAAACTCACCACACTCTGTTTTCTTGTTTTACCCTTGGAAAGAAGAGTTGTACTATTTCGGCCAAACTTTTGCAACTTTCAAATCAGGTATGGATTATATGTGCAGCACATTAAACATGTTTTAGTTGACATATGCCAACATTTACATATGTATATCCGTACACGCATCAGTCTGTCCATATGTATGGGTAGTACACAAATATCTATGTGTAAGAGTATCAAATCATTCGATGCACTTTCTTGTTTTTTCTTGCCTCTTGCTTATTGCTCACCCACACACCCATACATACGCACATTTACAGTTTCAACAACTGAGTCTTTGACTGCCAAATGCGAGAAACTACAGATATTCTTCGCTCATGAATTTATTCCTCCTGCTGTTCCTATTGTTTGTTTCATTTTTCTTATTGTCATGTCATCAATAAATGAGCGGAGTGAATAACTGGGTCAGCGGCCGACTCTAAGAAGCAAAAGGCGATATAAGCCACCAGAAGTAAAAGAAGAGGAGAGTTCTAAAATCCGCAAAATCAAGGGTAATGTTAATGCTAACTGCAACGGAGGAGTGAGTGAGAGGAATATATGTACGTATGCAAGAGTAGAGTTTCTACACCTTTGTACATTCATGCATACATATGTATGTAGAAACATCACCCAAGCCACGCATCAAAGTTTCACCCCCCGCAACCAGACAATGGAAATGTAGATTTCAATGGCTTCTCATATATTTTTTATGCAAAACCACAACCGTTCATCCACGCCACAATAAAACCTCAAAGGAATTGTCAGCCTCCAGAAGTGTAATCTTTGCACCTTTCCAATGGCAGGGCAAACGAGATGGTGCCATCAATACACGGGAGAATTGTCCGCAAACGCCTTTCACACCCACACGCACACATGTTGCGTTAAGAAAAAAAAGGGACTGTGAAGGCACGGTGTCGTGCATTGAGGTTAGGGTGAAGGCGCGTGGGTGCGGCGCAAAAGACTTTGAAGTCTAAAAATTCCCAAAAGGGTTTGCAGCCATTATTTCATCGCATACATTTTGGAATTATTGAAATATATTGTAATAAATTGCATTGTTGCAAAAGAAAAGGACGCCGGCCCCTAGGGCTGCAAGCCATGTGCGGCCGCCCGGAAGCGCCGGCCCTTCATTGTTCATAAAATCGCTTATTAGGGCAGTATTGAGTGTATTCTTATGTTAATATCAATAAATGAATAATATGTTACCTTTATAAGATGTTTAATCCTTATGTTAATAGCTTTTTATGACCTTTTTTAATCAACTTCGACCGAGCTTGCAAATTGCGACTGCACTTTTCCCGATCTTCAAAGAATACTAAGGGGACATCTGGCGTTTTTTTACGAAAGCCATTGTGCCACAGGTGTGTTGGTGAGAGCAGCGTGTGCAGGGAAAACGGCCATTGGTGAGCTGAAGGAAGTCCAATATATTATTTAGCTAAAATCAATTAGTTACAGCTGTTTAATGTGTTTTCACTTTTAATTGTGCGTTTTTCTCACTTTTTTGGAGTTTGTTTTGCCGCTTTTCACCACGCCCGTGATGGCGACATCTGCCGCAATTTCGTGCGGTATTTAATACCAAATTGGATAATGCGCTAGTGCCAACGTTGATATTTAAAATGAAATTTGAAACTCAGAAATTAGTGAAAAGATCAATAAACGTAAGGCAACTGCAGTACAAGTGTTCGGAGCTATTCACATGGAAGGCAACGCTGGCGGACCAGCCCCAGCAGTACACCAGCACCACAGTGGGCAGCAGAAACAGAGAATGGGCATTCAGTATCAGTATTATGCTGGAACATCACCAGCATGTCCCACCGCAGATCGGACGGACATATAATATAACGAAAGCCTACCAACGTGTTGCTACTAAATGGTGTTAGTTAATTTAAATTTACGATTTCTCTCTCCTTTTCTATGACTAAAAAAATGTTGTTTGAACATTCGCGCTCAGCAAAATTGCGACATCTGTCGGCTACACTTTCAGGCATACACAGGCACTTAGCTCTGGTATTTTAATACCAACCTTCTAAATACTAAAGTACTTTAATGGTAGTAGATGTGTGTGCCAAATTCTTTTTAAAATCGCACAAAAGTATCGATATTTGCGTTTTCGTAGCTACTCTCATTCCCACTTGTGTTTTTTGCAACGTTCTGTTTTTGTGGGCCTGCTGCTTTTATCCACCTTTAGTGGTACATGTTGCTAAGACTTCCAGACCACACAAAATTGACTTGCCAATAGTGTAAAATTATTGATTTTCGGCTGAGGGTCTTAGCTTGCTAGTAATATTCAACAGAAAATCAAAATCGTGGAATATGATTTTTAAATGCACATTTGCGGTATAATTTGAAAATCAGAAGGTATGTTTCTGAGTGCCACTCGGTATATATTGTGGACAACTCCGCGGTCACACTGAGCCTAGGGCAGACAACAACAACAAAAATCGGACATTGGTGGAAATTTCCGCAAAAACGGAATAAAAATAGCAACGACCGCAGCGAAAACAACTGCACACAATGCACAAAGGTGCACCACCCTGGCAATTCACTGCCACGGTGGATGCCAGCGCAACAGATAAGCAGACACAGCAGCAGCCGCAGTCGCAGAAGGAGGAGAAAGACGTATCCGAAAAACTGATAAGATTCGCCATGTCCCCAACTGCCGTTGTAGCAGAAGCAGCAGCAGCAGCATCGCCCCCAACCCAAACCCTCTGCTGGCTGTTACTGCTGCTGCTGCTGTGCAGCCTGCCGCTGTCCCTGCCCGTGGCAGAGGCCACCCACATAAGCGGCGACTTCCAGACGGCGGACTTTTTTCAGTTTCTCGTCAAGTTTGGCTTCAACAAGGCCGATCTCCCCACACGACGCACTGCCTATGGCTATATCTACGGCAATGTGACATCCCCGGAGAACTACACGGCGCCCGTGACCCTGGTGGTGCTGGACAAGTCCACATTTCTGGACTTTTACGGCAATCGCAGCCATCGAAGCCGCGAGGTGGCCTGCTCCATGATGTTTGCGCGCCTGCACAGCATTGCCTACGATGCCAAGTGCAATCCGCAGGGCAAGCGTGACTTTCTCCGGCATGTACCCTGTCCCAGGGGGCAGCTGTGCAGCGACGAGGATGCGCCAGCGAATGTGATGCCAGGACATCAGTTTACGTACGTAATCAACCTGGAGGCAGAGCCGCGGTAAGACCAAGATGATCCTTTCCAGCTAAAGAACTCCTTTCTAAGTAGTCTCTCTTGTTCCTTGCAGCTTCTGGTACATGGCCTTGGTGGCCTGCTATCAGAATCAGAGCACCTGCCAGTGGCACGCACACGAGAGCCTGCCGCGGCTCAGCAATCGGAGCAGCGGGCTCCTGCACACGCTGCACTACGACATCCATTTGGTGAATGTGCATCCGAATAACTCGGCAGCACATCCGCTCACCTTTCAGTACTCGTACGACCAGCAGAATCTGCTGGAGATGTACCTCATCTTCCTGCTCGTCTACATTGTGCTGCTGCCCATGCAGATCTATGCGGTGCGGCGGCAGAAGCATCCCGTCACGAAGCTCTTCACGCTGAGTCTGCTCAGCGAATTCGTTAGCCTGGCGTTGATCACGGCCCATCTGATTCACTATGCGGCGAATGGAGTGGGTCAGCCGCGGCTGCAGGCAGCGGGCGATGTGCTGGACATACTCAGTCGAACGACATTCATGCTGATACTCTTGCTGCTGGCCAAGGGCTGGGCGGTGACGCGTCAGCAGATCAGTCGCACTGGCTGGATCATCCTAATGTCCATCTGGGTGCCATACTGTGCGTTCCATGTGTTCCTCTACATCTGGGATCGGGTGAGGCTTCAGTTAAAAACTTACTTTAAATGGATTTCCTTATCATTGTGCTCCGCCTTTACAGACGGAGGTGGATATTGTATCGGATATTGATGAATATCAAACCTGGCCCGGCTGGATTGTCCTCATTCTGCGGTAAGCTTACAAGGACTCTCCATTATCACCTCTAAACATCTCTTGTGATACCCTGCAGCACCTCCTTTATGATGTGGTTCCTGTATGAGCTGCGCAACACCATGAAATACGAGCATTCCACCAAGAAATTGGATTTCCTCTTGCATTTGGGCGCCTCCAGCTTGGTGTGGTTCATCTACCTGCCCATCGTGGCCATTGTGGCCTTGCAAATCAGCCCCATGTGGCGGTACAAGCTGCTCCTGGGCATCACCAACTCGGCCGACTGCCTTGCATACTGCGTGATGACGGGTCTGCTGTGGCCTCACCGGGCCGGACAATATCTTCTGCTTGCAGGCACCAAATATGCAGGTGAGTCGATGGATACATTCTCAACCTTAGAAGAGATATTCTTACTGTCTACTCTCCCTTAGGCATGGATGAGCTGGATGAGTTCAACGAGGCGCCACATATTGTGCGCGAACGTGAGCTTCGCCGGAATTCGCCACCCGATGATATATCAATTGGCACGGGCAGTGGCAGCCGCGGCATGGTGCTGTCCACGAGCATACCACACTCCCTGAATGGCGATGCATGCAACGATCTGCTCGAGGCCGAGGATCTGGATGCGGAACTACTCACCGATCTGAACAAGAACAGCCATATTGTGGCATAGAGTGCAGCAGAGATCGAACAGAAAACGGGTTAATTAGTAGATTTTTAGTAGTCAATTGTGCTAAAACACGCTACACCAGATATATACAGACATATAGATGTGTACAACGAAGACAGAAAGGAAAGATAAGCAGAGAAGTTCCCAGAAAATGGCGCAAAGATAAAAGTGCAAGCAGATTGCAGGCGTAGATAAAAGTGCAAGCAGATTGCAGCAAAGATTGTTGTGTGATTCTATATATAGTTATATTATATATGCTTGAATTTATTATTAGTGAACGATTAGTTAACGCATAGAACAACGATACGACTACGCTTCTACGCATCATCTACATCATTGATCATTTCGTTGTGGTACAAGTTACATGGCATAAGCTTACATTTTTAATGAACTAACATAAACATATAGTTATATAGGACTAGATATTACCCAATTATTATATAGAGTATTCATTAACAACCAAGTATTTTGATAAGAACAAAAACAAATCAAGAACTAACTGAAATACAACGTGTACAACGTGTGCCACTGCTGCGAAAAGATAGTGAAATAAATGAATCATTTTTTAGATAAGTATCAAGTGAACACGACTGCGATTTCATTTGTGGCATGAGGTTAGACCCTTTGATTATTTATATTTAGCTGGAATTCATTTTAAACATTAGATTGCAGGATGCGATTGGTTTTGTTTATTTTATTGCTGGTTATCTAGAAATTTTGCGTGGGTTCGTTTATATTTATTGTATCTTTTGTATTTTTTAAAGGAATTTAAAGTCTTGGCATTGCATTATGTCTATTTTTAGCTTTGGATATCGAATACACCAAAAAGAGTGCATCTGTCTGTGTGTCACCTGTTTATATGTTTCATTTCTTTCAATTCTTAGGTTGAGTTCGAGTCATAATTACACACACAATAATTATAATTATTAATTATAGATCTGCAAAATCGAATCAAACCCAGATCTGCACACCGAACAGCCAGATCGGGGCCACGCAGTGAACATTTACTGCTGCATCTGGCTGTGGCTTTTAAATGTGGGCCAACCGAAAGACGCTTGTCTAGTATGGGGTATAGGGTAACTGCTTTCAGCTGCATTTGTTGCGTGTTGTCGATACACGTTACCACAAGGTAAATCTATTATTTAAAATTCGAACAAAAACCCTAAGCTTCGGAAATTGCATACACATAGCAGTAGCACACAGAGCTCTGCACGACTTCAAAGTTGTCCCTTGATGTCCAAAGCGTTTATCCTTGTATAATTATAGAGTTATCTATAAAATTCGAGTACCTGTTGCATGTCACAACACGGTAAACACTCCTCCCTACCAGTCCCAGGAGACAATTGAACACTCAATTGAGCCCAGCAACGAGGTCTAAAACGGTTTAGTAATTGACGTATCCTACTCGAACATGGTTCACGTTTCGCTGCTGCGCTTCTACTTTGAGTTGAGTCGCCTCATTGGACTCTGTAATCTGCACTACGATCCGCAACATCGGTGCCTTGTGCGAAATCATGTGCCCACTGTGGTGTATTGCCTCGTCCTGGATGTGATCTATGTGCTGGTCATGCCCTCTGCCTTCGCCCTGCTGGCGGGTAACATTTACGGCTGCAAGAACCTTGCCATTTTCGGCGTCGTTTACAGTGTAATGGCACAGGCCAAGCTGTTCACCATGATGCTGCTCATCGGCAGCGTCTGGCTGCGTCGTCGCCGCATTGAAGCGCTGGCCAATGATTATCTAAAGCTGATGTCAGATTTCCGCAGCGACTTGCAAAACAACTGCCGAAGGCTCTGCCTGTGGAAGGTGGCCATGACGAGCTCCCGCTTTATAATGCTCATCCAAGCCCTCCTGTCGTCAAATTCTTTGGTGCACTGTAAACGCACGTTAGATCGGGCCGATGTGGCGCCCTACTATGTGGCCTCAATGGTTTTTGCCGTGATCATGGAGCTAATGGTGTGCTATGTGGACTTTACGGTCTATATGATCCAAGTCTCTGGGAATTACTTGATCTCGAACAAGACGGAACGGCTGCAGGAAATGATTGATGATGTGGCGCTGCTGCCAAAGCATTTGGGTCGTCCCCGCGATATGGGCCTCAGGCAGATTCTGAGCGCGTGGCTTTCACTTTGGCATCGCTGCCAGCAGCTGGATGATCTGCTCAGGCAACTGCGTGAGATCTTTGAGTGGCAAATGCTCTTCAATTTGGGCACCACGTATATCTTCAATATTGCCACCGTCTTTCGCCTCTGGATATACATCGAGTACGCCAAGAATTTCCACCTGTGGGAGTGCCTCTTTATCGTCTTTGTGGCCCTCGCTCATCATGTCGAGCTAATGATGCAGTTCTCCATCTTCGAAACAACTAGCACCAAGTGGCTGCAGCTCCGGGAGCAGCTACAAAATCTCTGGTTTGTGAATCAGTCACAGAATGGCACTGGTCTCAACTCGGAAGTGGTGCTCTCCAGGAAGGTAAGTGCCGCATATGTCACTGGTATGATAATACTTATGGTTTAATTCATATTTCAGTTGGAGTTTGCCATTCTTTACCTCAATCGGCAGCTGCAAACGCGGCCACAACGCGTGCGACGCCTACACATTGTGGGCCTCTTCGATTTGAGTCGTGCCTCCGGTCATGCCATGACCGCTTCTGTATTCAGCAATGCTCTGGTCCTGTGTCAGATTGCCTATAAAATATTTGGATGATTATGGTGCGCTTAAATACAACTTTATACTCACAATTTATGGTGGTTTTAATTGGCTTTACTTAAAGTTTATGCCATCAAAATCAACATTTTCATTACATTTGTAGAGAAGCAAAATTTATCCGCCATAAAACAAAGCTCAACAGCTATAAAAAAGCTTTAATTTCGAAGTCTCCTGGCGTCGCAACCATTTGCAAATGTTAAGGAAAGCTTCACACACATTTTTGTGCCATAAAATACAACATTTTTGTTTATAATTCAATGAAAAGTCGTCCCTTACATTCGCTGCAGTACTTATACGAACTAAGTCTCCTGCCGTCGCCTCAAGTCAAACTGCATGAGAATAATCACATGGCTGAGAATGGAACCAATGTAGCTGAGGCACGCCGAATTGTTGAGCTCCACAATGCCGCAGATTTTATAAACCAAACGATTACGTTGCAGCTGACGAGCGAAAAGTTCCAACTGAAAGCAGAAACAAAGGACTCAGTTTCGGAGGAATCAACCATCTTTGCCACTCACCTCAATTTGCAGCTCTTTGCTGATCTGTCGGAGATCGCTAAACTGTCGAAGGGTCTGGCCTAGATCGTTGCACGAGCGGACCACGCTATCCAGCAAACCCATGAGCATCAGAGTGCCCCAAAAGTTGAACACAATTAGGCCACTGCCAAAGAGCGAGCTCCCGGCGTTGGATTGAATGGTTTGGTTGCTGTACTGCACCGCATGGTACAGGATGTTCATGGTGCTCACAAACATATTGGCAAACAGCATGGCATTGACCACATCGTACATGTCGAAAAAGCGCCGGGCCAACTCATATGTGTCCCAGTGCATGGCTGCTATGCGACGAAGATCGTGCGCCTTCTTTTTTCCACCTTTGCGACGCTGGAGAGCGCCGAGGGCAAGGTGCACCGCCCGGAACTGGTGCTCGAGTAGCAGGAGCAGCGCATAGAAGCACATTTTGGTGGCCAGAACGTGCACGAATTGGGAGAGCCTCGCAGTGAGGGCCGTCAGGCTCTGACGATTGATAACGCTGAGCAGTTGATACTGAATGACAATCGAACAGAGCAGCGTTACATAGAGCACGAAAGTCTTGCGCCAGAAAAGATTCTTCAGTGAGAGTTGCAGCTCCTCCAGCGCGTGCTGCGCCACCATCCGCTTGAGTATGCGCCTGTGGCTCCTCCAGAGTTGAAGCGAATCTGCATAGAGCTTGACAAGTCGTCGGCGCTTTAGCCAAACGAGTCCATAACTGGAGACAATGGCCGCCAATCGCAGGCCCAGCGATACAAAGAAGTTCCACTGCAGGACAATGTTGTGGGTAATGTAGCCATCCAGGATGGCTCGCGGCACCATAAAGTAGACGTCCAGTAGGAGACAGCCACTAATGAGGAGGCTGTAGGCCAGGTACATCCACGACACCTTTTCCACGCGGATGAGCCGGCTCTGGCCACGCAACTGCAGCGTTGTTCCCAGCAGGCCAAAGACGAGAGCGTGGTAGTAGGCCACGCGCAAAGCCTGACCCAATTTCGGATGCAACATGTTGTTGGGGTGGTCGTGGCCGCCAGGCAACTGGTCTGACGACCCGCACGTACCTTCCATAGAGGGACGAGCATTAATTAGCTAAAACTCGGTTACACACCGATGGGATTCTGACAGTCCTGATAGCTGTCATATCGCATCTGAATTATCTATCAGTTGGTGCTTCCAAAGCTTTCAGTAGCCAGTTAACAGTCGCCCGAAGTGGTTTAGAAATGAGCCTCAGCTTGCTGCTGAAAACCTTCCATGGCTATGGCCTGGGCATGGGCCTGCTGCCGGCACCACTGCGCCTGGACCTGGACTGCATTCAGTTCAGTAAGCGATCGCATCAACGTCGCTGCTACCTCGCATACACGGCCTGTCTGAATGTGCTGCTCATTGTGCTGCTGCCCTTCACTTTTCCGGAGTTTATGTACGATGAGAGCTACATGAGTGACAGGCTGCTGCTGCAGTGGGCGTGGAATCTGACGAACGTTACACGGATAATGGCGATGCTTTCCTGCGGCTATCTGACGTGGACGAAGAGGAAACCGCTGCTGCAGTTGGGCGAGCGCTTGGCGAGGCATTGCCGCAGATGCCGCCGACTGGAGAGCGGCGCATTGCGTGCCTCGTGCTACATAGCGCTTCAGAGAAGGATTCGCGGCCTGCTGCGTCAGCAATTGTTTGTCCTGAATCTCAGCACAGTGTCCGCCACGCTACTGCTGATGCGCATCGATACGGATTCGCAGTTCAGCAATCTCACAATGGTGGTCGTCCACATGATGCAGTACGTGTACGTGGTCATCATGATGACCGTGCTGTATGTCATCTGTTTGCTCCTCTACTGGCAGATGGAGCGCGTGAATCTTGCCCTGAAGGATCTGTGCTCGCGACTGCACCACGAAGAGCGCAACGCACTGCTGCTGTCCGCTTCGCTGGCCAGGCACACGCTTCAAACCCTGGAGCATCTCTTCCAGCTGCACTGTGAGGGCAAGCGATTGATGCGGAGTCTGTTTAGCATCTTTGATGTGACCATTGCCTTTCTGATGCTCAAAATGTTTGTGACAAATGTGAACTTGATGTATCATGCCGTACAGTTTGGCAACGATTCCGTGGCGACAAGCGGCGTGACCAAGCTGTGGGGCGAGTCGGTGATTCTCTCACACTACTGGACTGCGGTGCTCCTGATGAACCTGGTCGATGATCTGACGCGGCGTAATGGCCTCGAAACAGGTGAAATTCTCCGTCAATTTAGCGACCTGGAGCTGGTAAAAAGGGATTTTCAATTGGAGGTAATTCACAAAGCACTGAGTACAATACAATTACCCTTTCTGTTACCCTTTAATTTTCTTGCAGTTGGAACGCTTCTCGGATCACTTGCGTTGCCATTCTACGGCTTACAAATGCTGCGGCCTTTTTGTGTTCAACAAGCCAGCGAGCATGATTTACTTTTTTTCAGCGTTGGTGAACGTTTTGGTGCTTTGTCAATTTGATTTCTAGAACAGCGTCTTGGAAATTTCTTGAACAACAAAAGCGCGCCAACAACTCAGCTGTTCACAACTCCAGTATGCAAAAGCGAGATAGCAAAAGTGTTGCGGTTCACACTAGAGGTGGGAAAACTTACTGCTTGGTTAGCACATGACATATCCAAGCATGAAATAAAATTCTGAAGCCAACAAAACCCATCAGGAAATTGTTGTATGCATAATAGATTCTCTTTGTATATCGAGGTCCCAACACGATCATGATGCACGAAACTTGCAGTTTTCATGGCACTCGTGAGCCACGAAGCACGATCCGGCCCGTGTCCATCGCTAGATCATGAAACTCTCCAAATTGTGCGAAGGGGATGGCTGCTGATCACAAGTATGGTGAAATTCGGCGATCAATGGCGTGAAAATTTGTGCTTCGCAAAATACTTAAAGAAATTTGTGTGTTGAGGGCTGTTTAATTGCTCATCACTTAGCGCAACAGTTATTAAATATTAAAATCCATTAATAAAATGTGTTTTCGTGCGCAGCAGCAAAACGCCGGCGGGAATATTGAATGCGGCAGCGGGAAGAAGGTGTGTCCACACGATTAGAGGTTAAGTATGAATGTATGTGTGCAACTAAGATATTAAATTTGTTTGTTTATGTGTTTTAGGTTGGCGAATATCATAATATATTCACTCTAGCCCACTCTCAGTTGTGTCATATGTTGATTTGGGCCTTTCAATAAGCTCATCAAAACGGACATGCACACCTGCACACGTGTGTAAACATGCTAAGTATGGTAATCCCCATTACGGGACGGACTGCCACACAATGTGGCTTCATCAAATTTAATGAAGGCGAGCCCCCTATGCAGGAAGTCAGGGATCCCAGGAGCAGGACATGTCCATTAAATCAGTCCCAATCTCTCCTTACTCCTTCAACCCGCTCCATCGATATTTCTCAGCTGCTTTTTGTATTAATTCCAATTATACGCACGACTGGGGAATTTTCATTTGGCCTGAAAGGATTTCGGGTCATTATGAGCTTCCCTTCGACTTCGACTCCATCTTTTGCCTCTGCCACTCCTTCCCCACAATCCGAACAGCAATCCGAACGAACGGCAATGCAGAATCTCATTTGTATTGCTTTTGGAACTGTACCTCATCCCAGGCTGACTCCTGGGAGAGGACTACGACTGGGGATAATTGGCCGAGTATATTGATTGCGGTCTGGTGTGCACATGACATGTCCGAAACCCCAAATATGAGAACAAACAAGATTTCTTTTGAAACTAATTAGGAAAACGTGGCCGGGTTATTTGCATGCCATGCCCTGCCCCTCTCCTGTCACACCCCTGTAATGCGTGTTTGTGTTCGATTTAATAAACCCTTTGGCAGCCATAAACCATGATGAAAATTATGAAATTTCTGCCCCGCAGCCCCAACCCCAACCCAATTTCAAAATTGTGCCCCGTCAGCAGTTGCTGATATTGCAATTTACTTTCTGACGCAACTGTACTTTTGCTGGCGGGTGATAAATGATTTTCGACATAATCCCCAAGCTGCAGGGTAAAACTAATTAGATTTTAATGGTATCGAAGAAGTGATTTTGCTGTCATAATATCTCGTTTTCGAATTACTACGGCCGAGAACTGGATCAAATTTTGGGTAAATATTCTCGCATGCCTGCTTTTTACATGCTCCTAAAATGCAATTAATTTGTTAGAAAGTTTTTGGGGGCCACAGTGTAGAGGCAAAATCCGACTAAGCCCCGAAATAGAAATGGACAAGTTTTGGTGCCAGTCGGATGTGGGGTGGTGGGTGCTGGTGAAACAGTTATCAACACCAGCTATGAGGGGTGTGGGAAACCACATGAAAGTCGGTCAAGTTATTTTCAACACTTGAAATATACTCTCGCCTCCTGGCAGCTGAAAACTGGATCTCGTGCTTGGGCTTGAGGTTGCTCCTTGGCTTTGGGGAGTGCCCAAAATGGTGGGCATCCGACATTTCTTGTGACTCCCGCTTTCTGGGTCAGCTTTTCATTCAGCAGTTTCCGCCCTTGCCCGCCGTTGTCATCGTCGTCGTCTCTGCGCATAAATATAAATTGTATTGTTTCGAAAAAGTTTTTCCCCCCATCCGAGTTTCTGCGGCCAGCGGAAAAAGTAGTTAAAGTTTTGTTTTCGCCGCTAGTTTATTGCGTGATTTCCTCCGCAATGACAGGAGAAGGCGCCACAAGAGAGAGTGGGTTGGGTGGTGCAAGGCGTTGGCTAGAAAGCATTTGGCCACATAACTTACAGTCGCTAGTTGCAATAGTATTTGTGCGTGGGCTTTTAACAAGTCTGGGGTGATAATGGCAGCGAGCGAGAAATTGCCGGGATACTCATTATCGAAAACAAATGGATTTTGAAACTACTCTGTGTATTCTATCTACTATTCTGCTGCAACACGGATACATATTGGATTTCACATTAAAGCAGAGAAAACATCGGAACTTTAAACTTTAAGTGTTGAAAATTCCAACATGTCCAGCATTATATTTGCAGCTGATTGCCTTGGTTATTTGAAACATTTATTTTGGCTGCCATGTTCCACCTTCAAGCGTACTTCAACCTGCAATGAAGGGGCACTTTGTGGCAGGGAAGCTCGTTATACATTTTCACCATTTGGCATTTGGCATTCGAGTGCGATGCAACCATTATGCACGTCCTGGAACGTGACCATCAGGCAGGCTGAATCCCTTCCTACTCACCTTCTGGTGCCGCCGAGTTAGGGTCTCAGAAATAGTTGTGGATGCACTCCCAAGATCGACGCTTTTCATTTTGAGTCTTTGGTCTAGCATTTCTAATTGCATTTTTACCTAGTTCTGGAGTCAAAGTTTCTTGGCCACGTTTGTGTCCGAGCTGCAGTCCGGATCCCCCGCCGTGCGTAAAGTTTAATTAAACGTGTTTGATTTATGACTTTGTGGGCATTCAGCAGCTTCTGGGGAATGTGGAGCGCCAGTAGCTGCAGCCGCAATTCCAATTCCCAAAATCTAATGTGTTTATTTTGTGGGGCTGGCGAAAGTTTCCACGCTGGCCATAAAAGCCAGGCCGGGCCACCTTTATGGCTACTGCGGCTGTACGTGTGTGGGTGTGTGTGGAGTGCCATGTGCCATATGATTTCCGTTTTCGCTTCCGTTTGAACACACAATTTCCAGCACTTTATTCACATTCGTCCTCGTCTTTTGGGCCATATTCCATGAAGCGTTTATTGTTTTCATGAGAACTAAAGTTGAATTTTCATCAGCTACACGCACGCAAAAAAAAGGAGGAAAACAAGCAAAGTTTTCCCCTCAACAAGTTCATCAAAGTTCCCCACACAGGACTCAGCAGGTGGGATTCAAGGACCAATCTAGGTGCAAATCCCCAAGCTTAGGTTACAGGGGCCAGCGGCAGCAAATCAGGTCAGGCCACAAGCCACAAATCTCTTGCTCAATCCATGCTGAAAAATATTCCACGATAATCAACTTTGATACACGTAGGCTTTTCCTTTTCCTATTTCCCCTACCACAGCTCCAGCCCCCGTTCCATGCCATGCATTAAAATGCCGAAAATGATTGGGAAAATCGCAAAAGAAAATCCCGGAAAAGGCAAGCGAGCACAAGCCCCAAAACACAAATCTCCGTCTTACATCGGGCCCCAAGGCCGTCGGGGCAAGAGTCCCCCCTTTCCCTTGTCCATATTTTTTATGGCGCCGCATGAAAATGGAAAAACTTGATGTTAAAGCAGTGAACAAGAGGGGGCTGGATGAACTGGGTGGATAATCGCGAGGCCGTTCATTGGCAGTGGCTTAGCCTTGGACCTATGTGGCATCTGTTTGTGTTGGTATTTTGTGGGTGTGTGGCTCAAGATGTTGGCTAGATTATGGCAGAATCCCAAGTGTTTATGGTTGGAAAGGTAAATGGAAA